TGGACTCTCGTCAACATTGTTGGGGGTTATCGTTGACCAAAATCTCACATGCTTGGCGGTACTTGTACGTATAACCCAGCGGCCGCAGAGAGCTGTCCATGATCACAAGAATGGATTGCTCATCTGAGTAATTCTCCTGCTTCCCAAGTCAATGACAAGCAGACTGGAATCATCCAGGCACGTCGTGTGTACGAGGCATTCGTCCTGCCCACAGATGGTACACAGTAAACCAGCTCGGATTTTCCGCAGTGACCCCAATCCTGGGCCAATGTTGCACCCGTTCCAACTTGGCGATCACCAACAGGGCCCCGATATACGACGATTTACGGCGCACAAACCCTTCCACGTTGCGCGCTGCGCTGCGCTGCGCTGCACCTTGCGTATCTATCTTTTCCTTCTGCACCTCCCGTCTGCTCTGGAGTCTGCCCGCAGGATTCCCACCGGGTTTCCAGGGCCCTGGTCTCGCCCAAGGCGCATCAACACCGGACTTGATTATCCAATCTCCCCCGGAGGCCCCCCTTAGACGTCCCCCGAGATCGTCGCTACATCTGGCAGTGGGCGCCGACTTTCCACGACTCCGATCCCGATAGCAGATCGGGCGGGTTGTTCGCAACGTCCCGAAGAGCCACGGCGCCCAACCTCGATGACTCTAACAAACAAAGCCCAAGACCAGAGAGAAAGTAATCAACCACTGACGTTGTTTGGGTCACGCAATCAGCATGCCGAGCATGACTTACCATCAGAGCCTGTTGCCCGCGAGACAGAGACAACCCCGTCTTAGCGCAGTCTCACCACTGAACGGCATTGGACACTTTGAGCAGAAAGTGTCTTCCCCCTCGCACTCCCTCCCCCCTTGGTGCCTTGGCTTGTTTTCTTGCTCATGTTCTTCCCGTGGCGTCTGGACCTCTGACTCGTCCCAACACCTCGACAACCTTCGTCCTAAGCACTCTACTTGGCCGTAAGCAATGTCTGGCGGACGAGTATGCACCAGCATGACACAGAGACAAGCATGGCGTCAACCACCACCAACTAACTCCAGCGAGTCGAGACGAGACCAGACGGGCAAGAAGGGAAATCACGACGGAGCATTGACTTTATCTGCAAGGTGCGGACATTCACGGAATCGCTGGCCGAACTCGTTGATCAACAGAGAGATAGAGACGAATCGAATCCCAAGAAGCAGCCAACACCCCGCCATCGGGGACGATAGCCGCGTCCGAATCCGCCACCCGCCAGCCAGGACGTCAACATCGTTCATGATCACAGGCCATATTCTGGCGGAAGCCCGCCAGACCCAGAGACCAGAATGATAACCTCCTATCCATTCCTCGACATCCCAGTCCATGCATTCTCCCGTATGAAACAATCTGCGGCGCAACATGTCATCTGCCCGGGTAGATATCGGAAGCTGATAAGATCGAATGCTAATGCTATATCCCGTGTATCACGATCGACCGAGGCATTGCATTGCACGTCCTCGATCTTTCCCGCAGGCATCACACTCTTCAGTCGTGATCCAGGAACCGCGAACTACAAAGTACACGCACACACAAGATGTGATGCGTGATGCATCCTGCGACTCGCGAACCCGGTACCCCGGATCCGTCGCCACGCAAGGCCCGCTAAACCTTGCGCTTCCCCGTGCAACAAGTACAACACCAGATACCACCTACCGTCCACTGCGCCCTCGCTCGGCGGCGCCCTAGAACGTGATGGAAGCGTGTGATTGCACGACGTGGCCGCTCCAATCGCATTTTCGCGCCATTCACAGTGTCACATCTCGTTGGATCTGCAAGGACACTACCACCTCACCTCGCCTCACCTCACCTTACCTCAGACTTTGGCCGAAAGAACACCCCGAGATCCCGTCAACCCGTCTCACATCATTCTCTCCCGTCGGCAAGCAACCCTGATTGATAACCCTTGAATCCAAAATAGAGATGCAGAGTTGCTTTGACAGACCGCGGCTGATAACGCTCACCTAAACTTCAATCTTGCACCTGCAACCAACGGCAACATGCTCTCCTGAACTATTAAGATTGCACGGGCTTCTCCTAATATATGCCCCCCATACATACGGTGGGATGCCCGTCCTCGCGTCCCCGCAATACGAACCCGAACTCGAACGCGGTTTTGTGGAGACAGTTCCCAAGCCTCTCAAGCAAAATCAATGAAATCACACTCTCCACCATCATTTGACGCCGTAAAAGACATGGTCCCGACACACGCACCACTCGTAAATCGCCTGCCAGAGGGGCCTAGCCGAGCCCAGAACGCCCTAAGCCCAGCCGGCCGGCACCCTCAAGCCAGTCCATTGGCGAACCATCGGATACTTGGTCGTCAACGCGCTGCTCGGCCCTGAAGAACCCGTTCTCTGGCCTCCCTCTCAGCGTTCCCAGTGATCAGCAGTGCGAAGTATGTATCAGTAGGTAGCAGCAGCAGCCTCGGAGCGTTCTTCATGTGCTGTGCGCAACCCTCCGAACCCAAGCCGGGCAGACTGTCCCTGAAGTAGAAGAGAAATTCCGGGGTGCTCCAATGGCTGTCACTGTCACTGGTCTTTTGAATCCTGGTCGGACTCCGGAATCGACCCGACCCACGACGAGAATGATCTTCCCATTCCTGCCCAGAAACAACGTCGCCAGCACAAATCTCTCCGACCTCCGTGATCACCCGGGCGGCCATCGTCCACCAAAGCACCGATCGCAAAGCCTCCAGCCCGATGATGACCCGGTCCGCAATCCCACGTAAACTACTCTTTCCAGAGTTACTGCCCCATGCGGAATAGCGCCAGATTTCATCCGACGTGGGCGCAGAGAAAGGCACCTGGCGCAATCCCGTCAGCCTTCGGCCGAAGCTGAACCGGCTTTGACAAGCCCACCTCCATACCAAGACCGGAGGACGCAGGGCACCACCACAGCGCTTACTGCAGCGCTGCAGCAGCACAGGCACAGGCACGGCCTGTCCAGCGGCACACGCAGCGGCCCAAAGTTTCCGCAATGTTTGAAGTCGGGGTCGGCTGGCAGATGCCATTGCGAAAGCAACGCCTCAATGTCACATGCGGCGCATCCCCTCGTGCAGTTCCTCGGAGCTTCAACTTATCAGTGATATTACGCTCTGCTATCTCTCCCGTGACTGCTGCACCCACAACATCTACGTCTCCGTACCCTGGGCAGAAAAAATGCAGTCCGCGCACTGGGGCGCCCGTTGAAGAGCAACATCACAAACCCCACAGCGGCCCCATCCGGAGCTAAGAGCTCACCCAAACGCCTGCTCGTCCGTGAAGGAAGGCGGAAATAAGACGTTTGTCCGGATGTGAAGAGAACCCCAAGGCCAGTCGTCCGAACGGGTGACCTTTCTGTTGTTTTCCTGGCTTGATGTGCTCCGCACACTTGGCGTGCTCCTTTGGGCAAGTATTCCTGTGGAGGGACCATGTTCAGACGGTTTTCCGGGAGGGGGAGGTGTGTGCGGTGGGATGTGTGAATCAGGTGACGGGTTATGTGTAAGTCCCCTACCCGGATGTCCCGGCTCGCGCGGGATACGAGAAAGCCCAACCAGGAGAGGGGGAAATGGTTTACGTTGTTGATGAGAGCTACTATACCCTGAATTTGGGGGGCATGAATATGTAGCAGGTGCCTTGAAGCTAATGATGCCTGGAGACGTTGATTGAACAGTGTAAAGTAGAGGGGTTTCGATTTGCGGCCCGCACCGGGGGGCGAGAAACCCGTTGGCTTTTCAGGTACGCTTTAAGAAGTTTGGTGAGTGGGTCGTGGTTTGGGTTATGCTTATTGTTAAGTATGCTGTCACCGGGAGACTCGGATCTTTGTGGATAGATGGGGAAGCTTTTTTGTATTGATATAAAGCGTAGGTGCTGGCCAGGGTACGCAATCTGATAATCTTAAGCTTCTCCAAACAGTCTTTGGAAGATTACAGTCTTTGGAAGATTGAAGAGGGGGCATTGTGATGATACTAGCCTGGACTAGGATCGGTTCAGGATATCAAGACTTCTTAGGGGATAGGTGTTCTGGCACATTCAACGGCTTAGGTTGGTCAGCATCAATAGCACGCCGTCACTTAGATCACCCTAATCTGTTGATTAACGGCGTCCACATAAGTGACAGTCATTCAAATGAGCGTGGTTGTAGTTTTATACAGTTGACATAGGCACTGCAATGAGCAACGATACTTGGGCACTTATGACTAGTTCCACAAGTGTCAACCAGGCCTGTTTCTTGGTAACTGAACTATGGCGTTACGAATAGCTTTAGGAAGCAAATGCAGTCCGTTAGACTCAAGATCGCCATGGAGGTGAAAAGAAACATATTCTCGCGTCTCAGTTCCCCGTCATGCAGAACTAAGGCTCGATTATGGGCTGTAAATGTGGACATGAGCTGAGCTGAGCTCATGAGTATCAGGACCAGTGCATACATCAGCAGAGCTGTATGTTTCAATGAGTATTGGTGCTCGCGCAGGCCACGTCAATATCTAATCATACCAGGGCTACGCTGTTATGATGCTAGAAGCCGGTTTCAAGACAAGACATTGACGGTAAGCTTGTAATTTAGTGTTGACGATCCGAGGCTGGAAATCAGCACACGGGCGACTCATTCCGGAGACTATATTACCTTCTCTTATATCGACCTCAATACTTAACTGAGAACGATGGCTTATCGTGTAGTCTGAATGAGTGGTGAAGTCTACCTACCTAGTAGGTTTGGTGAATATGTCCAAAAGTCCCATTCTCAATCTGCAGCCTATCCGTCCCTGCAGTCACTGTCCAACATCACAAGAACCAGGTGTAACCTCAACATGCACCACCGACATGATGATTCACGCTTACTGAAACGAGCTGATATATAAAATACAGCAGCTGAGTCTCGATTCTCAGCCTCATGGAATCATCATCAAGCACATCAACGAAAATTACAACACCAACACCTTCAATCCACTAAAGCTATATGAGTATCCATTTTGAAAGCCTCACAAGTACTTAAGAAGCCGTCATGTCTAGCAACGACATCAACCCTCCTCTCTACTCCGACTCTCAGCCTCTTGGTCCCAATGGCCCAACTGGAACCGGCGCCCAGGCCTCCGGCACCCGCGGCGGTCACAGTGACAACACCGGAAACGCCTCCAACCGCGGCGGTCGCCAAGGTGGAGGTGGCTGGGGTCACCATTCCGGAAGCAAGAAATAAGAGAAACAAGTTCGACAAGCCCTCACATCTCCGCCGCAGTCACGATGTCTGTCCAATCAAACATAGTTAAACAATAGAAAACGTAGGCACTACATTAGTAATAGGAGCAATCAGTTTATCTGGAGTCAGATGCCCAAAGCTTTGCTACAACACGGTTTCCATAGAATCTTTTGTGTTGTATCAAGTCCTACCTACACACAATTGATCACTGAGATAGCCCGGACTTTTCAATAACTCCCCTGACAATATCTTCAATCTCATGTTCAGTCAACCTCGTCAGCCCGACTTTCTCATTCCAGCTCATCTCCTGAAAGCTTTCACTGCCGCCATATCCCTTCCCGTACATCATCTGCAGGTAGAAGAGCATCATCCCAGACTTGTCACCTTTCTGCAATCGCTCCCTCGCTTCCTGATAAACTTGATCCACGTCCCGCTCTTCGACATCAAACTTCTGACCTGTCACTTTCTCGGCCATCTCTGTCAACTGTTTCTCAGTGACTATCGCAGAGTGGATGTACACGGACTTATTCTCAGCCTCGTGGTACAGCCCATTCTCATCTTTGAGGACCTTGCAGATCGTCTCGGCAATATCAGGCAATCTGGTGGCGCCAACCAAGTTCCCCCCGCCATTATGCCACTTCGCCGTCTTCGTACGGAAATCCGGCCCCAAGCCTCCAAAACCGAGGACCAGCTCAAAAAAAGGACCGTTGTTAATACTCGTCCAGCTTGATTTACCCCATGTGTTGGCGATCTGCTCAACGAGGTACCGCCGAGTGTGAACCTTCTCCGTCACAACCGGAAGTGTCTCAGCCAGCGGCGAGTCGAGGTTGGTGCTGTACTCAGATGGAAAGATGCGCTTCACCCCGGCCGCGATGGCGGCGTCGATCCAGTGCTTCTGGCTTGAGAATGAGATCGGATCTGGCGCGGCTGAGATGACGGCATCTTGCCCCTGGAAAGCCGAGATGAGAGCGTCGGTGTCGTTGATGTCAATTTGGATGGACTCCATTCCTACCGGGACTGGTGCGGTGGACTCGGCGCGTTGGATGGCCGTTACTATGAAGCCAGCCTTTTGGAGCGCCGAAGCTATCTCTGAGCCCAAAAGCCCGGTTGCCTGTGCATGCATGTCAGTTAATGAAGGTACCGATGTTAATAGGACCAAACTCACGCCGATGACGGCCACGTTTCGAATCGGCGAAGACATGGTGGGTATTTTGCTGGTTGGGGTTGACAGAATGCTCGCGATGGTTGTTGGAACTTGGAAGAGACCCAGTTCTCAGATCCTTCATGAAGGAGGGCATTCGTCTGATGAATTCACATCAATGACTTCATGAGAATCACATGGGCCGTTGCTTTTGGACGTGCAGAACTTGCGCGCGGGGCAGACCGTGCATTGTGGCTAGGTTTGGGATATCATAGTTCTTCTACACAGCCTCCTTCTGTTATTCAAATCTCAATTTATGAGGTCTAGTGACTTGAAACTTTTGATGCACGGCTAACCGACCAGAAATGTCTGTGACCAATCACTCCTAAATGTTCACTCAGCACGCCATTACGTGCCTAGAGTTCCGTTGCCATTCGCTCGAAGTAGTGCAGCACACGTCCGCACCTGTTGCTTGACCAAGAGGAAACCGAAATCCAAGGCCGTCAGCATCACATGGTTCTATTGACACGTTATGAGCGTCGTTTAAGTCGAATTGTCTTCGCAGGATCTGGCATGGACTTCAAGTAGTCAGAAAAGTCAGCTTCGTCTCGACGAGCTTACCAAGTGAACTAATGTTTTACGAAACTTACCTGAACGCCAATTTCAATATTCTTGTATCTCTCAGTCTCGCCTTCCGCGAGCATGATGTCAAAATTCAACAGGATTATGGCAACGATCATCTTGATCTCGACAGACGCGAAGAATCGACCCGGGCAGACGTGTCGGCCGAAGCCGAAGTTCAAACTCGTCTGTCCCACACTGGAGAACAAGTGCCCAACTTCAGTATCATCTTCTTTAGCTTTGACCTTGTTTTTCCGTAGTTTAGAGAACCGAAAGGCATCAAACTGGCTGCTTGAGGGATAGAGTTTGTCGTCCATGTTGACGGCAGCCGATGGTAGTTCAATAAGGACACCGGATGGGATGGTTTGGCCGTTCGAAAGAGTGAAAGGTTGGAGAACCTTGCGCTGAGCATTCGCTGATACGTTTGTTAGAAGTGTAGTATCCCAAGAGTTTTCGGGGAACGTCATACCAGCACTCATGGGATAAGTACGCATCGATTCGGTGAGAAAGCTCTCCAGCCTGACCATGTTCTGTAGCGCAGAGTTGGTGAACTCGTTGCCGGATCCTGCAAGTGCTTCCCGAATCTCTTCTCGGAGGACCGGAATGATGTCTTGCATTGATGCTAGTGTGTACAATCTGTAATCTTACAGTCAGATTCCCAGCCAAGGCTTGTCTGGAGGACTTACGCGTTAGTCGCCGTTGCCGTCGTAGTGTGAATCGCAGTAAAGCTGGCGCCTAGTTGCCAAATTGCCAACTCGGCATCGTTACGTGAACCGTTCTTAGACTTGTCCTGGGCATCAATCAACCATTGCAACATATCGTCCGGCTTTTCATAGTCCGCGTTCGCCATGGCATCTCGTCGGGCCGTGACCACTGGCCCTAGAAAGTCTTCAGCCTCTTTAAAACGCTGAAAGAGTTTCTTGACTTCAGGCAGCCTTCGGCTTGAGAATCTTCGCCGCCAAGCTGGCAGACCCATCACTCCAAGAACTGCGTTGACCATGTCGACGGTATAGTTGATAGCAGTGTCGAGATAGGCTTCATTGCGACAAAGTTCCGGTCCGACGAAGACCCGGCCGGATGCCATCGCTACGATTCTAAATAGCTTGTTGTTGATGGGGACCTCGGTCCAATCCTTACACGAAGGGAGCTCTGTGTCAATGGCATGCGTTACTTCGTCAGCAATGGCTGTGCTGAGGCGTGCTTTCAGTTCAAGTTAGTAATCCACTAGACAAATGCATGCAGTTGTTGTAGAACCAACCGAGCGCCGGCGTAAGCGAGACTTTGACCGTATGTGCGAGCATCATTGTATCGGTCGGGATGTCAAGATACTGATTGTTGATGGCCTACACAACACAAGTTCTGTCAGGGACTTGGCTCAATCTTGCATGGAGCAGACCGCCTACCTCGTCGGTGGCCTCCTGGAACCCCAAGACAGAGTCGGACAGCTTCTTCAACTCGGGAATGAACTTTGGGGGGATGACCACGGTTGGCAGTTCTGTAATATGTCATTTAGCTTGGGTCACGCCGGTCTTGGTTATCGTAGACTGATAGGGGAGAGTGTGACTTACCGCTTGCAGTCATGATCTGGAATGCGCGACCTTTGAACTGAGATTCTCATCAGAAAGTGTAATCTTTCTGACGTCGCGCTGATACCATTACCTTCTCATATCCTTCTCTGTAAAGTCTTCTTGCGCCTCCTGGCGCCATGAATTCCTGTCTTCGTTGCTCTTTCGTTCTACCGGCTCCCACGCTTGGTATGTGACCCAGGCGATCCTTCTTGAAACCCCATTTTGCGGCAATGACAGGGATGAGGGTGACGAGAGCTGTAAAGACCAGAGGCCATCTTGCCACAAGCGTAGGCAATAAAGAAGTGTCCTCAACTGTCACGTTCATGTTGTGCGACCAACTTCATCTGCTCTCTCCCAACAAGAACAAGTGCAAATGCTTGGAATATGATCGTATGCAAGAGGAAGAATCCAGGTGCTGTCGAGTCGTCAACTTAATGGACCGACGATGGAACTCTTTATTTCATGCATCGGCAATCGGATCTTTTGTGGAGTGTTCGCCCGCCCTTCCGCACGGGCAATACCGCCGGCCTCCCTGGCCGAAAAGCTTGACGATGGAGACCGGACACTAAGAGGCGGCAAGGGTAACGGCGGCCCTCTTCAAACTCTATCCGGAGATGACGTTGTAATAGCAAGCGTTGCGTGTGGTGAGTGTCCCCCTCTAGTGGTTCTTTACTTGCCATCCCTGTGATTCCTGAGTCAGAAGAACCAATAGCATCGTTAATGCTGCGTACAAAAGTTTTCTAATCCGCGGAACGTTCTCCTATTCCATTCCTCTGGGGAAAGTACTGCGTACAGGACGATGCAAGCGCAAGTTATGAAAATTGCGAGACCGAATCATGGCGAGAGCGAGGTAGTTTAGAGACTTTCATCGGACGCAAAGTGCGCGACTTATATCTGACTCTCAAGCCCGTAATGAGGGGAAGTTGAACTTTGAGAGTGTGATTTTGTCAAAGAAAGTTATCTCTTTTGCTGTAAAAGGCAATTGAGACGAACACACACACCAGCGACGCTTCCCCACATGCCCAGGTTCTCGGGGCTGTTTGACTCGATCACCAATAACTCCTAAGTTATTGGTGGTCTTTGTTGTCGCCTTCTCCACCGCCAATATCCATCGGCCATGCAACTCGATTGATCATCGTCCAATTAGTTTGTGGCATCGAGATTCATTATGATGCATCATCTTCACCGCTTCAAAGCCTCGGTCCGAGCCGGACAGGGCGCTTCTGAAGGACAGCAGGAGCAGCAGGGGCGTAGCTAGCCATCGTACTCGCATCTGACAAACCAAGTCAAGGAACCATATGTCATGCTTCATCTGTAGGAGTGTTAATATAGATCCCTCCACGACCAGATAGAAACCAACAACTGCCCCTCTTGGGTGGCGATGCTCTCTAAGGTTAGCCACGACAGACACAAGGTGCTGGTAGAACGGGTAGATTTCATGTTCTTTACTCAGATGCAATGCATGTACCGCCTGATGCTGGCCTGTCTTCGCTTCGCTATTGGGTTACATCATTGATGCCGAGAAGCCGTTCAGTGAGCACTAAAGAGCTGACGCAAGTGATCAACGGCGGAGCCTCACGCTAGGCAAGGCTTAAGTAGAAGCACTGCTTTAGTCTAGACATAGCCATGCAGGGACCTTATTCCCGTAGAATGAAGTCTTCAAAGCCGCG